TGGGGCTGAGTATGGCTGCAACTTCCACAAACATGGGAACCTAAGATAGGACTAGAACCAAGTTCCCCAGGAAGTCAGGACTTAACAAAATCCTGGTGATGTAGATTCAGGATGCCTGCTTGAAACCCAGGTGACCTGCGACATCTGTAGCCTAGCAAATGGCCAGAGAATGGAGAGGTAACGGAGACAGGTGGTTAACAGAGGGCACCAACCCACGATGAGAGCCCCAACAATGGGTCTGGGTCCCAGCTTCACTGTGTGGCCCTGGGTGAGTTTCCAACCTCAGGTGCCTGCCTGCAAAAGGGAAGTGAAAGCAGCCTTCTGCTGTCACTTAAATGAGGTAAATAACATTTAGGATAGTATCTGTAAGGCATCCAGCACAGCACCTGCACATAGAAGGCATCCAAGAAATGGTGGATATGATTAATATGAGTAGTCTGCACTATAAGAATTAAGAACTTCAAGTCCAATGCCTCCTCCTGTCTCACTGTATTGAGAAACCAGGCTGAAGTCACTGACCTTGGAAAAGACCAAGGGATTACTCATGTCCTGAGCAACTTCTCCTTTGTTCTTTGATTTTTTTTTTTACTTTAATTTTTTAAAGTATTCTGTCCTTTAAGGCATTTTAGGTTATTCTGAGATATCTGCCCTCACCCTGTGGCCTCACATCAGGAATCTTCCCCTATTGAAGAAACGAATCCAAACGGGCAAGCCGTCCAAGGGAAAACCAGTGTCATAAGCCACTTCACAGGAACATTTGTGCCAGAAGGGACCACAGGCCCCATCCCAACCCTCCCTTCAGCAAGGAGAGGGTCAAGGCCAACCCAGGGTAGGTCTGAGCTGATAGAGGTGTGACATTCAAAACACCTATCTTAAGAACCACACTTAAAATTATGGTAATGATATTAAGCACTAAAAGGATGTAATACAAATGCAAATATTTTATGTATGATAGGCATTCAAGAAAATGTAAAAAGGAAAATCTTGATAGCTAGGTAAGATCATAAGACTCTCTATATAGAAAGGCATAATAAGTACATGATGATGGGAGAAGTCACAGCCCATGAACTCGAGATAAGTTATAGTCACGTATTTCAGAGACAGAGTGTGGGGTCTCATTTTCTCAACTACGCTTTCAGATGGAAACCTCCAGTACCTTCATATAATCTAACAAGGGCCAATGACCCCCAGTGGGGGGAAAAATCAGTCAGGTCACACACACAGAGAAATGCACTTTAATTTAAGGAAGTACGATATCTGATTAATCCACTTGGTATATTAAAAGCAGGCAACAAATTTTATTCCATAGCTAAGAAACACCAAGAAACCACTCAACTTTGGTTGACTAAGTTGGTTAGTTTGGCAAGTTTTGTGGAAGATGATGGGAAAAAGGAGGGAGGAAGATGGGGAAGGTGGTGAAAAGGAAGAGAAAACCAGGTGAGGAAAAGAGAATGACAGAGAAGGAAAGACTAAACACAGACAACAAGGAGAGTCCATCTAAAAGGATTCCCAGTGCTGGAGGCAGTAACCTTTGTAGAAGTGAGGGCATGGCCTCACTATGATCTGTCACCTGTTGTGTCTGTCCCTCCCAACCAGCTGCACTAATCTTTAAATCTCTGTAGGGAAATCTACTCTGCTCACCAGGGTGGAAATAGATTATTCCCTGGGTACAAATGCTCTCAAAGAGCAACAACGAGAGACGTCCACAAAACCAAATCCCAATTCTTCAGCCTCTAGTCCGGTTAAAAGTGGTTTATATTTCTCCTTTTATATGGGCTGGGTGGATTTTCCACTTCTGTAGCCTGGGTCACACAAGTCTCTGATTCAACAAATGGCTGTGGAAGGCCTGGAGGAGAAGAGGGGGTCCTGATATAGCAGTGAAGGAAACAGACATGACTGCCACCTCCCAGAGCTGACCAGTGACACAAAGTGGGTAGCGCATCCATCACCACCAGTGCTTTGGGTGTTTGCAAAAGGAGAGGGAAGGTGAGCATAGGGTCTCCTCTGACACTCCTGCCCCGATATTCAAATCTTTCAAGGGCAACTCAAGTCCTAGATAAGGAAAGGGAAAACAGAGGAAATCAAGACTGACAAGAAAACACCGAAATGTTACAGTTAATGCTCACCCTGATTCAAAACAAAATAGTAAATGTTCAAACTGAACACAGCATTCATCATCTGTTAACCACATAGACTAAAACTCCTGAAATGAATCCACTGCCAGAGTATTTTTTGTCATGCTTAAATACGTTCATAAAGATGATCCAGCCTAATATACCTTTGGAATCATTCAGAAGCAAATTATGTTGATTGAGTTTTACGGCTATTTCTTGCACTTTGAATACTGATATCTCATGTAGGAATCATGTGGCCTAAGGTACATCTTAATGAAAAGGCTCCATAATCAAGCAAGTTAGGAAGTGTGGCACACGCTCAGCACCATTCGGTGTTTGGTGTTTAAATAGTATATTTTAGGAAATTCCGTTTTATGACAAATTCTGCATGAAAAAAATCTGCCAAACCTAGTTTGAACCAGTATTTCCCAAACTTATTTGACCATGGACGCTTTTTTCATTTAATACTTATTAAAAGTCCACAAATTGCTTCAGGGAACACATGTGGGATACACTGCACAGTATAGGGGACACATTGCTTAATTAATCCGAAAATGCAATTAATTATCAATCTCCCAAGCATTCTGAACTGGTGTTTACTATATGCTACAGGAAAAGGAAAACTTCCCCCATTGAATTTCTTATTGAAATTCATTCAATGATATGCTGACTTACTGTATTTTTAAGAAGAAATTTTTTAATGAACTAAAATTGAATCTTGATATGTTAATAAAAAGGAACACAAATTAATTGTAAATAATTTGACTTTGCAAAATTGCTGGAAGCTTGTCTTCTTCTCTAAACATATTTTAAAATTTCCCAAGTATATTTCCTTAAAAAAATAATATTGAACCAAAAAAAAACAAAAAGGCTAACACTTCCTTCTGCCCTATTACCTGATATGCCTAATTACAAATACCTATAACTGAGATAAGGTATCAACATGTACAGTTTGTGAATCGCAAGCATGAGGCTATTATTTCTACGCTTGTGGTATTATTCTTATAATTTGATTCCTCCTCTGGAAATAATGTAATTTTAAAGCCTATATTGGAGGTTTTATAGAATCAAATTCCACTGACTGAAAAAGTTTCACCATTCAGTTAACAATAAAAAAAAAACAAATTCAACAAACATTTATTTAGCACCTATTGTATAGATGTCACTGGATTAAGCACTATAATGATGAATGTATGTTTTCTGGGCCCCAAATCAAGACAACGGACTGACAATAGGACAGAACTATTTAAGACTCTTAGAAACTCGGGGGACTTCCAGGCACTGTGGAGGAAGAGCAGAAGAGCAAGTTGTTGCACTGAAGATGCCTGTGAGACACCTAGGTAAATTTTAGGACATCCATACTGCCACAAAAAAACCCAGTAAGACACAAAGGCCTCTTTCTAAAAGGGCTACTTTAGTGATGTAAAAGCTTCATATTAGTTAATACATGATAACCAATATTAGACTTGAGCCCAAAACTTGAAAGCTGTTAAAGTTTCCATATTCAATTTCACTTATGTAATGCTTTTTTGTAAAAGGCAGTTAGACAGGCTTCGTGTGTAACTGTTATGCTGATTATTAAAAGCAGCTTAATAGTCTTAAACCATCACTGGTGTCTCCAAAGAATCTTCAAAGAATCTATAGAAAGAACCCAACTTCTGCTAATGAGAAACAAATGAATTTTCTGTGGGGTATGGGGAAGGTGGGGCGGGGGGGGATCACTTCATCTATGTTATGCAACACTGAAGACTTCACTTTCACAGAGAAAAACTATTAGGATAACTGACAGAAATTTAAGACAGAAAGTGAACCAAACGATAGCCCTCAAACTTGGGAGGTCTAGAAGTCCTCAGTAAGAAAAACAGGACAAGTTTGCAAATGACTTAGTAAGCAGCAGCTGAGAGCTGAGAGGGAGGTCCTCAGGTGCCATACATGCCAGGTTTTCTTTTTCTTTTCTTTCCTAGTGTAATACAATATAAATAAATGCATGAACTCCAGCTCTACTGTTTCAAATCAGAGAACTGGAAAGCTTCTGCTGTGTGCCTTACTGGGCTTGTTGCCTCTTTTTTTTTTTTAATCATTTCTTTAAAAAACCTTAACAAAGATTAAGCCAGAAACTGTAATAAAACATAGCTAAGGCAATACGTGCTGGAAAAGACACGCAGTTAAAAAAAAAAAAAGTCACAAAATGTCCCACCAGTAAGACTGCTTAATAAAAAATTAACTTTGTTCTGCTGAATGCTTCAAAAATCGCGTTTATGGTTGTATTTGCAATTACATGCGCTTTAAATGCAACACGTGTGCTAATAAACGTGACCCTCAGGTATAGGTGTAACGAAGCAGGGCTGATATTGTTCCAGATCACATGTTAATGGTCCCCAAGCAAATGGAAAACTGCAACTGCATGTGCAAGCTGACAGGGAAGAAGACCAAACAGGATGGCAGGGTCCAGCACTCTGGCTTCACGGGGCCAGCCGCCCTTCCCTTTCCTGCGTGAGAACCAAAGACCAAAGTTCACACTGATTTAACGTTTCGGGGGCGCCCCGGGGGTTCCCCGTCCCCGCTCTGTGGGAGGGAACTGACTCCAGCGCCTCGGTTAAGTTCACCGAGGGCCCTGCGGCTCGAGACGTCGGACGTGTCCGAGTAACCGACGCCGCAGCTACAGGACAGCGTCCTACCCACCGCTCCACTGAGCCCAGCCCGAGAACCGGGGTCGGTCCTCCTCTGCACGCAGCCCCTCGAGTCGGGCTGCGAGCGTCCGTCCAAGTCACCCAAAGAGCCGGGCCCTGGGCATCGCGGCCCCGGAGGGAGCCCCGCCCGGCCCTGCGGGAAAGTTGCCGCTGGCCCGGCCCGAGTTTGCCCGCCCGCCCGCCCCACGCCCCTTACCGTCTTGCCGCTGCCGCCACGAGACTCGGGCTCCGCAAGGCTGGCGCCGCCGGACCCGGGAGAGGTGCTCGTCTTCGGGCCGTGAGGGAGGCGCGGCCC